TCAATAACGCTCAGACATCTTTGGGAAAATTGTGCACAAGTGGCTGGTGATGCAGTTAAACGTTTCAAACCTGCTCCATTAATATTAGAAGCAGGGGTGCGAGGAGAGACAGGCCAATTCTTGCCAGCGAAAAACAACTGCTCCTGAGCACCACCTACGCACTTAGCTTTCTCACAGGGTGAAAAATTCCCGAGTGGGTTTAAAATACGTGCATACTGGATTGTTCTGCATATTCAAAATCCCTTTCTAGTAACTGACATGTTTTTAAAGCTAAAGTTAAATCTAGCCTATAAATCTTGAATATTCTTCATCCCTAGTAGATCTGAGACATATGTATACTATACCAAATAGTGGACCCAGAAATATCAACTTATAAGGAAATTATATAACCACCATATAAATCATGAATCATGAAATCATGAAATCTTGGGGATTTCATTTTTAAAAGGGCCTGATTGCAATAAAAACATAGGCAGAAATTCACTTCTGCCATCTTGTTTTAATATGAACCAAAAATGTGCACGTAACTTTCGACAATACAGATAAATACTTCTCCTGACAAATGCAATGTCCTGACAGAAGGGGGAATTTAAAAAAAAACCCCAACAACAGCAAACCCTGGCCTCTGCCCAACCATGATCCTTATGAGGAGGCTCCTGGGCTGCCCTGAAAAGCTCTCTTTAACAACAGTTTTATTTGTAAATCTGCGATGGAAGAAGTGGTTTCCGGTCGAGCTGGAAGTGGCCCGAGACAACTTGTCTCAATGGGGCAAAATAACTATTGTTATCGGGCTTAACAAAATGGCACAGCATGGGAGACTCGCCGAGCCAGGGAGCAGCTGGTTGCAATTCACACTGTTTTTCAGAAAACTCTAATCGTTCCAGAACAGACCTCTTTGATGACTGGTCTTCCCTGCATTCTCAATTTGTCACTTTCTCTTATGATAAGGTCAGTAGTGACAGCACTTCCTGACATTAACAGCTGTGGCTTTTAAAAGGGTCATTGTAGAACTACTAATTGCAGTAATTTCATTAGCATAAATTATTTATTCTGCCATTCATTTATCTCCAGTTTTCTTTGGGGTGGGGTGGGGGGGAGCGGCAGAAAGGAGATGGTTGCTGGGGCTGCTGCAGAGTTGGCAATGCAACGCTGTATTTTTCACTTTCAGACATGAGAGCTAAGAACATCATTCCTGCCGCATTTGGCCCCTTAATGAAAACCAGTTGCTCCCGTTCTATAGTCACTAAGAAGACAATCACGGGGAAGGCAAAAATAAAAATAAGCCAAGTGCCATTATCAAATGATTATAAACCCAAGGTTTCTCCTCTAAGGTGCTTTGGAAAACAATACTGTACGCAACGCATAATCAAAGGCAAAGATGAAACTGTTTTTTCCTCACATTAAGACAATGTGGTTAACGTCTACTCTCTCGGTGGGCTCACTGTAAACACAAAAGCATAAACAAATCTCTGCTACGAGGTGTGACAGACAGTTCTCGGGTGGTGGCAGTCGCTGCCACACCAAATACCCAGCCACCTACCTGACAATTAAAGCAAAGGCCTACGATGTCCCTGCTGTTAAAAATGACAGACAGGAAAAACCGACTGAAGACCAATACTAAGAGACCAGAACTAAATCAAATATCCTGTTATATAGGACTGTACACCTGCCCACTACCAGCAAAGAGGACTGTACTGGTCTGTACTTTTAAATTCGGACTTTCAAGAGTATTGTATTCTAAGGGATGGATGTGGGAGAGGCAAAAGAGNTGATCCCTTTCTAGGCTTAAAAAAACAGAAATAGTGTGTTCTTTGTGACCTTAAACTGTAAAATTTTAGCACTAGGCACCTTATGTAAATGGGTTAAAATGTTGCTTCAAAAAAATTTTTTTTAATTCTAAGGTCACAGATTTCACTCAGTTATAATCTACCGTGGTCATACCTGAGAGGCCGTGGTTTGCAGCTTCTGGATGCCATTCATCAAGTGTTCCTTCTTCTGCGATACCTCTTTTTGCTTGTTCTTCAACAGGTTCTTAAACAGTGATATTTGTTCTAGAAAACTCTTCGGGGTGGTGTAGTTGTATCTTCTCTCATTTTGGTAATACCTGGTACTCATTTCATTTACGCTGGTGTGAACATGTGCCATGAAAAAGCTAATAGAATCTTTGTCTAGTGGCTGAAGACACAAACATTGCAATTCATGTGAAATTCTCTCAAGTTAAAAACAAAAATGCAATTTTTTAAAAAAGAAGAAAAATCAGCAAAACTATACAGTATTTTTTTCTAAAAGCCACATAAGTTATAGTAGAATCTAGGAAAACTTAGTCTTTTAAGAGAGATACCCACAGGATGAGAGACGACAAAAAAAGCATTCAGCCTTGCTAACCCCTTCTTGTCAAGTAGCCAAAGGATTTTCACTTGCTCAACACACTAAACCCCAAAACCACCAAATAACACAAGCACTGCTTTTCACAACTTGATTTTTATCTATAAAGTGTGAAAGAGGAAATGGAGAAATTGAGACACAGTGCTCAGAGAAGTATTTTTGGTGTTGCTTTCAAACTAAACTTTAGGCAAAGTAAACCAACAACTCTGCAGTCACTGAAAAAAAAAGCTGAAAACTGAGAAATACAGTTTTATAAGAATCCACAGTTTCTTAAATACATAAATACACAGTTTATGTGAAAATAAAGTGGATGGTAAGGTATAAAAGTCACTGGGAGAAAAATACCATGATCCTTTCTATTCTTATTGGGGGCGGGGGGAGGGGGGAAGAAAAAACAACAAACAGTAAGTCTTCTCGGAAGATTTACTGGAGAAACATGCCCCCCCGCCCACTATACATTCTTTCCTTTTTGTCCTCTATGACTTCTGAGGTAGTTAACTTTTTAATTTGTGGAGTCACATCTCCCTCATTTTAATGATTATTTATTGCATTCTGTACAAGATGAACCAGGTTCAATTAATCAAGGGAAGCCTAAAAATCAATTAATATGAATTAAATGAGCTACACCAACTCTTAGGAAAGTCACACATAATTTACCAAAGTGTTGTCAATAACGCTCAGACATCTTTGGGAAAATTGTGCACAAGTGGCTAGTGATGCAGTTAAACGTTTCAAACCTGCTCCATTAATATTAGAAGCAGGGGTGCGAGGAGAGACAGGCCAATTCTTGCCAGCGAAAAACAACTGCTCCTGAGCACCACCTACGCACTTAGCTTTCTCACAGGGTGAAAAATTCCCGAGTGGGTTTAAAATACGTGCATACTGGATTGTTCTGCATATTCAAAATC